AGAAGGTTGATAAAATATCCTTAAAAGCCAGCCAGTTGCAATAAAATAATGTGAAGTGGAAATTTTCATAGCTGTTTTTCTTATAAAGACTGTCTGGTTTAATTTTTTACAACTGCATCCTATCTTTTTTATTTCACTGGCCTGCATTCAAATAATTCTCTGTGAAACATTTCCTTCTGAAACATCACATTATCTACTGAATTTATAACTAACCTGCCTGACACTGGTGTACCTGAGTACCATAACATATCTTGTCTTGCTGTATGCAAGTTTTCATTTAAAAACTAGTAGACAAAATACATGTGCATCTATGTCAAACAATAAGAACAGTAAAATTCTAGTAGTAAAAGTATATTTATTTAAAATCAATAGATCACTTTGTTTTCTGTAAATTTTCAAATGTAAATAATAACTGAGGTTTGAAAGTCTTATGTTTCACTCTGTTTTGTGAAATATACTCAACATTGTTAAAAAAATATGGGTGTACAGAAAGACTATAGGATAACTACAGTGTGAAAAAAAGGTGCAGCCTAAAAAAGATTGAGCATGTGACTTAAAGTAATGAAATCAAATTTGGCATTCAAACTCGTAGCTACACTTATAGCTAGGGCCCTGCAAATCAAAATTTTTTTCCGAATCAAATTGAATTGGCTGTGCATAAATAGATTATAGAATATATAAGCTGAACTTAATTTTAAATCAAATAGAAAATTGTTTATTTATGTAGAGTGCTTCTACACACAATTAGTAATGAGTATAAAAGTAAATCTTTCTAAAAACAAAAGATATAATGTACTTAAAAATCTTGAAAAAGAATGGTACAAAAATGTTCTTACAAGGAAATAGGTTTCAGTATATGGACTGAATAAAAGCTAAATTCTAAATTTTAACAGAAGTGATGTAGAATCGAAAATAACGAATCTGAGCCACAGCTAACGATTCAAATCCGTAATCCTGATTCACAATTGAATTGAATCTCAAAGCTTCACAGGGCTCTACTTATAGCATTGATAAGAATTTTACAGCAAATATTCATTCATTAGTTAACCAGGCTGCATTGTTTGTTCAATGTGGGGCACAATGGTGGATAAAATTAAAATATGTGGCCTAGCTAACTAATGAATAAATATTTGCTGTAAAGTTCTTATCAATACTATAAGCAAAGCTACCAGTTTGGCTGCCAATTTTGATTTTATTCCTTTAAGTCACACACACACTCAATCTTTTTTTTTTCACACCTAAGGTGCTTTTGATTAGATATCATGACTTTTTGTCAATACACACAAACAAACTATACCTAATAAGAAAGTGACACTCGACAGTAACCAACATTAGCTTTAGGATCACAATCCTATTATTTATAACAGACCTATACTTTATAGAACCAACAAGATTCTTTAAAACATATGGTAGTAGTTTTTCCTCTCTAAAACAGTGTTAATAACTTCCTTTATAGTAATGCTATAGAAACTAGATTAACAGTTTCTTATCATTACCCACATGCACTCGGTAGAGCCGTATCAAGCATCATTTACTCTAATTGCTTAAACTAATATCATGTGATGCTAAACACTGATTAATTAGGAGAATTGTTTCATGAAAGTTGGCAATGAATAATGAATAATAACCATCCACTCATATGATTCTTTTAAAAACTTGAGCTTGAAGCTACTAATCTAGTTTGCTTGGCCTAGCCAATATTTATGTGTCTGCATATGCTTTCCCCCTTTAGTTCTGCTGCTCTAAATCAGCTCTAATTGCTTAAGCTAATATCATGTGATGCTAAACACTGATTAATTAGGAGAATTGTTGCTTGAAAGTTGGCAATGAATAATAACCATCCACTAACATGATTCTTTTGAAAACTTGAGCTAGAAACTGCTAATCTAGTTTGCTTGGCCTAGCTAATATTTATGTATCTGCATATGCTTTTCCCCTTTAGTTCTGCTGATCTAAGTCAGCTGTCTTTAATCCAAATGACAAAAAACTAAAAATGATCCACCTTTACTCTTAGGTAAAACTGTAGTAAAAATTTTAAACCAATAGTTCATGTAACTTTTTGCATAGGCATGTGCAAATATTTTGGTCAAAATTGAGCAGTTTTTGTTGAATAACTTTGCACATGTGGCTCATATTTACACCAAATGAGACTCCTAATTGTAAGTTGTAAAGATCTATCCATGTACCAAACTTGAAGAAAATACATAAACGTCAAGTATGTTTTTCTATCAAATAAAATTTCTGTACTTTAGGGGGAGGAAAAAATAGGAAGAAACTCAATCAAAATTGAAGATGTTATATTTCAGATATTTCTTAATAGATTGCCGTGTAATTTGGTATGTGAAGTAAGGGTCCGGTAGAGCACATCCACTGAAAATATGTGATAGTTTGGATTACCACATTCTGGGCTACAGAAATTGGAAAATTGCTAAACTATCACTCCTGTTAATAACACACTGTGTCCTGCATGTTGTTTTGGCCACATAACACACTACTGTGTGTCTTGATATTTCAAACTCAAAAATAATAGTGGTTTCATTTATTTCATAAAGCCAAAACCCATATAAATAACGTTTTCTGTCACTTAACACAAAGTAATAAAAATTCTTTTTAATTCAGCATCTTTTAAGACATACCTAAACAAAAACAAACTTACAGAATGCAAAAATGGCATACCATTATTTTTTAAAATACAAAAAATAAATAAAACACAGCAGACTGTATACACAAGTTTACTAGTCTTATGTACTATTTTTCATTTTCTGCCTTGTAAATTATTAGTATGTAATTTTAGTTCACATTTTAATTCATCTCACATACTATGTAACCCATCCATATAAATTCCCAGAGCTTTAATCAAGGTATAATTCAACCACGTAAATATTCCCTGAGCCAACTATAACACTAGTAAAAAAGTCACAAGGGCTTTAACATATATATTAAACATGCAGATCAGAATGAAATATTCCTTATACTTTACAATAGCTTAGTAGGTCAAATGTATTTTGCTGCATCAATAAAAAAAAAAGGGTAAAATAGTCTACCACAAAAATCAGCCAAAAAAAATAATACAAATCACCTGAAAGTACCACACAAACTAGCCAGGTAGATCAACAGGAATTTAATGTAATAAACCAGTGAGACATAGTAAAAATCTACCAAACTGACCAGTCAAGTAAATCAGCTTAGCTCTACCCTACAAACCAGTCAATTATATCCCCTAGGTTTTATTTATAGCCAAAATTGCCATCAGAGCTTTGTTAGATAGATCAGCCAAGTTAAACACGTAAAACTCTACCAACTAAACCATTATATTGGGCCAACTTGGCTTCATAAACAAAAAAGTATAGTAAATAACCTAACCTTTAATATATAAGCCAGTCAAACAGTTGACTCCAACTTAATATAAATCATTTAAAACAAGAAAATAAACAATTTTATAATATAATGCTAAGCTGTACTACTTAAAATATATAAATATATGAACTTACCTTAAATACAATAAACTTGAAATATACATGAAGCAACGATTTGGACAGTCAGCAGATTATATTATTAAATGTGGCTACAACAGTAAAATTCTTCATGTTAGTTACTACAATAAATGTTTAATTAACCTTTTCTGAACCACAGAACACATTTCAGACAAGTTTCAAAATAATAAATCTAATTTTACTTCATCAGCTTGCAACTCAAAAATATTTTTGAATTGATATTTTGTACATATTATTAAGTGTAATTTCCAAAGAAAATAAAAAAAATCGAACTTTCATTTCTGTGCAGCTCTGAGGATTCTTGCCTATAAATAATGCACTTATAGATTTTTTTCAGAATTGTTCTGCTCATCCCAAAGCACAGGTTTATATTACTAAGTAACTACCATCCTTTGAAAACATAATTATCCAAGTTTTGTTTTTTGTGTGATTTTTCTTCTTTCATTGATTTTGTTAGTACAGCTTTTTGTTTCCACCATTTATTATCTCACAGTATATGATTTGAACAACAAAGTAATGAAGCTATGCTTTGAAAATAGCTACAAAGTTTAAGTACCCTTGGATATAGAGCAAGTTATAAACTATTTCTTATCAATGTAAAATGAATAAAGTGGTGTGAGAAGTAATTTACTTTTTAATGGGAAAGTGACTAGATGTAGCTTTTACAGAGAAGAACATTGAAATATACTGGGAAGACTTAGGAACCAACCATATATTTTCTCATTCCTGAAGATGTTTTTATGTTAAATTATTTCTTAATGAAAGATTCATAACTTTTTTTTCTATAAGACATCAGGTAAGCATAATTGGGATTAGCAAGTATGGGTAGGCAATTGCAAAATATTCTGATTATTCAAATCCTTAGTTATTGAATACAACTGATATGTTTATTGTATTAAACAAAAATGCACATAAATAAAAATAAATTTTATTCATTAAAATAAATTACATTTATTAGGTATAAATAGACATTCATTAAGGAAATTCTTAACAAAAATAGCGTTACCTAGCCTCACCAAATGCCATCTTGAAAGGTAAGCTCCTAGATCACTAATAAATCTTTGTCAGTTTCTGTGATGTTTTTTTAAAATTTATAGTAAGAAGTGGTGACTAGTGCAATAGACAAAATAAACTATTAAAAGAAATATGTTAAAGATATCAGTCAAGTTGGAACTGACTATACATATCTATAATAGAACTTTATTATCAACAATAAAACAATTCAAAGATAGAATGAAGCATTTTTAAAGTTTTTTTTTAAAAAAGTGTCTCACAAGCAAAGTTTTAGAAATTCCATGACATAACAAGTGACAGAAAATTTATATCAATTTGTTAATCCAAAACTAAATTCTGTTTATTAAGTTTATTCTATGTTTCATACAATTGGATTAAGTATTTCCACAGTGAGAAGGAAAAAAATGAAGCAATACCTGTGACATCCCTCTGGTCAAGAAAGGGTTAAAGAAAAATATATGAAGTTAAAGGTTATAAAAAAAAAAGAACTACCTCATGGGATTTAGCAGCTATAAGAGAAGATCTGTAACTTTCATTACTTGCAAGCCTTTGGCACAATGCTGTAAATACACAATAAAAACATCTGTTTACATTTAAAAGTATGATGATAATCTCAGCTAAATTCATGTTAATAGTTTTGAAACTGGGAAGTGATATAAAAAATGACTATTTCATGTGCAATGTAACATTGGGTTTATCAGATGTATTGTACACAACATACTAAGTATTAGGTAATGCTAACCTCATTGATTTTGTAAATAGTAGATATTATATGTATCATATGCATTATTAGCTGATATCATTACAACAGAGCATGCAAATACTACACTTCCTTACTCTCCTGCAGTAGCAATAGTATGTATATTTCATCTCTACAAAATGTTCAGATTTGGAACACACTAAGTTTGTTCAAGATTATTTGCAAAAAATTCAGTTCAAGGTGTTAATTCTGTAGGATGGTAAAACCACAGAAGCTACATACTGTTTCATGGAATAGTTGTGTTGCATTCTGTTTTACTTTGAGTATAAAGGACTGCTTTTTTGGCTATCACAAGTTCTTGAAATTTGTTTTTCTGATTGATCAACTACAGAGAGAGAATGTACATTGTGAATGCAGGTTTGGTGGTTTTCAGACAAATTTCTTTCTGTCAGACAGAGCAGAACTGTTTCTGTCCTGAAGGAGTCAAGGCTTGCTACTGAGGTTTTGCCTATGTATTAACCCTTTTATCTGTTACTTTTGCTGATTGTGGGAGTTAAATTTACTTAACCTTTAAATACTGTTTATTTTACTTTTCAAGCTAAACCTAGTCCAACACAATAATTCTTTCCACTTGTAAGATTGGTCATTCTACTGTTTTCTTCAACAAATATTACTTATTTTTTATTTCAGCAGTACACCTCTTTCTATCCATCACTACAAATCATTATAAATGTCCTCAAATTTCTGGTCATTGTGGAGATCAGATAACTGTGTGCTCAGCTTATCCTTAAATTACCATAAAGAATTACTTTTTACTGGTAATAAGAAATTTATATGCAATCTTAAAGTAGAAAATACTAAATTTTAGGTACTGGCTATTATAAGAAAAGATTACATTTTTATAAAACACAAAATTGCAGTTTCTTAATAACACTGAGGATTTTTCATAGATGAAAGCTGAATACAATATAATATTGTAACACTAAAAAACCAGAGAATACCAAAATTATTTTACACACAAGCTGTAAACAACAAACTTGAGGATGCTAAAGTTATTTTATATGCAATTTCTAATTGAATAAAACCATAAACTCAATAAACTGGAGAATGTAAAGTAAATGAAAACAAGCTAAGAAAGTGAAGACAAGTGTAAAATCCAAACTTTTGCTGGCTTATGACTGTTTCCAGAATTACAATTAGAAGACTCTCATGCATCATGCATCCTCAGCAGCTGCTCTTCATCTAGGACTAATAATGATGTTAAAATTCAGTTATAATGAAATTATGTTTAGTTGGTGTACATTGAAAACTGGAATTATTCTCAGATTTTAGTGGAGTATGTTCTTTTATACAGGTAGATAGCCATCTAGTTGTGGAACCAATATTCGTCTGTGCAGCTTGGACACTTGAACTTACAACTGATAAATGAATGTTTTTTCTTCATAAAAAGAACTGATTTCTTACTGTAAAAAAAGAATGTTATATAATAGTGAGCAGCTTAAAGTAAGAGTTAGCTCTGCTTTTTCAGCAGACGAATAAAGTACCTGCCCTTCAAACCCACCAGCAATGTTCCCTCAAATTTTTTTCATGTGCACCAGTATCGAAGCAATGTGCAGATGTGAGCTACCAGTTTTTTGTTTGTTTGTTGTTGTTTGGTTTTTTGTTTCTTTTTGGGGGGGTGCGGGTATTTTTACACCATTGATCTTATTGGATCATTAGGCAGTTTTACAATGCTACTAGTTGGTTATTTGAGCTTTAGGCCTATTGACTGCCACGGTCATTAAGGCCATGAACGTGTTGATACTCCTTACCATTACTGAAGATGTGCGTGGCACTTGATTGGTTATCATGCAGCAACGCAGCTTGGAGGGAACATTGCCTACCAGATTTGTGTGGAGAATCTAAGTCACAGAAATATTCACAAAAAAATTTATTTCACAATAGTTATCTTGACCAGTTGAAATTAAAACCTATATGCCACAATAACTAAGATTATTATCCAACGATGACAGAGAATCCTATATAGAGATGCTCAGGGAACACACCAACTTATATCCTATTGATGACAAAAAACTACCTTGAAAATAGTCCAATCGGATTGAAAATTCCAACCCAAATGTGTCAAGGGAAACAGAACTTTCAGTCCCCACTTCCAAGGCTAGGCATGAATAAGTTGGGTTCAACTACACTAAGTCTTGCCATGGCAAGGAAAGTCCTAGGTAATAACTTCTCCAAGAGGCTATAGCTGCTCCAAGCTGGGATCCACATTTTTTTCTAAATGATAAAAAAACGTAAAATTCAAAAAGCTTACTAATTTCAAAGGAAGCTCTCGACAGCAGTTACCTGAGTGTACTTTAAGTATTTGGTGAAGGTATGAAGTATCTTTCACATCCCAGCCAAAAGAAGGTTACTGAGGGGCCCAGGCTGCAACAACAAGATTTTAAACCTGGTGAAACAAAATCTGAACAGTTGCAGAAGATCCCCGATCAGATGCTGAAAAATATAAAAGATAAGCAACTTTAACTAGTAATCGAGAGGAGGGGCTACCAATTTGGATCACAGTGACACCAGGTAAGGAAAGAATAAATGTTTGGGAGTTCCAGAAAATTCTATGGGGAAGCAATGTAACACTTCACTGCACAAACAGTCAAAGGAGGGAATCAGAATTAGAACAGTCCTCACTGACTAGTAGATGTGATAAAATAATCTAGAAGAAATGATCTAGATAAAAGAATAAAAATTCCCATGAGAAGAGGATGTGATAAATGTCAACAGCAAACACCTTAGACTATTACAGATCACAGGCTACTAATGGTAAAGATAAGCTTTCAAATAAAAACTTGAATCCACATGTGACAAAAGATTTAAAAAAAGGACCAGAGTCAAGGTAAGGAGAAGTGCAATATTTCAATCAAGCAGATGATGCCACAAAGGCAAATGTACAACATGAAAAGACTTCAATTACTACCCAGTCACAGTTGGAGAATTTAAAGGAGAAAACATACTATGGAAAGTAAAAATGTGGCCCAACACCACATAATGGCCCTGTAGTGCAGAAAAAAAAACACTTAACAAATGAACTGAAACAGGAAAATGTTACTGCACCCCCCCCCCCAAAAAAAAAAAGTGGAAATCAGGGGGAAAACTGGCCAGGAAGAACCACTACAAAACACCTTCAGGGTATGCATGAAATCTTATACAACACATGTGCAAGAACCAGATTTGGAGGTGAGGATGTGAAAATAAAACACTCCACCCAGTTTTGGATAAAAGGTTTCACTGCCAGGACATCAAAATATGAAACTACAGACCAGTGAAGTAGTAACTTGTTATTCCACATAATTGATCTGAAATTAGAAAAGGGGAGAAATGAACAAATTGCAGATATGTTGAAAAGCAAAAAAAATGAAGAGACCACCCTGTGGACAAGGATATCTAAGGATGTGAAAGCTTACCTGCCTAGATATTCTCAACTCTCAGGATACAACAGGCTCATAAAAAGATACAAAGGGTCTCCTGAAAGCATAGTCCCATGGCTTCCCAGAACATGGTTTGAAAGTGTATCTACAAAGTAATAAACATTAGCTTCTTGCAGATTTAGAACCAGACACTAGCCCATGTATACTTTAGAATAACCAAAGGACTTATAAAGACATTTTTCAGTTGGGGTGGGGGTATTTTGATTGGAAAGCAGGTTGTCCAAAACAAACTTTTTTTATTTTGTCCTGAGTGTGTAACACATTGTTTTTAGTAATTTAATACACAGAAATATATTAACTATATCATCATAATGTAAGAATTAGCCTACAACTCCTATGTAATGTCTAAATCATGGATCTACTGAATTTTTAGAAATCACTTTTAAAAGTTAAGCATTTCCCTGAAAAGAGGTCAAAGGCTACATAGAGGGTTCACTTATTTTAGTCACTCACACAACTATAAAGTAGTGTGCTGTCTGTCAGTCAGCCAGTAAACACTAAAATGATGTCACATAAGGGATGCTTAACATTGCAATTTGTACTGTCCCGACATTGGTAAAACATGCACATGTCATGAATCATGAGAAGCATTATGCACTCTGTAGGCTACAACACAGCATGACATATGAATTTCAAAAGCAAGAAATAAGAATATTTGTTACTCTTAATTTTGGTTTTATTTAATTTTGAAACAGAACATTTTCAGAGACCCTGTGGAAGTGTAGTTTTATATTTAGTTTTATTATCAGAAACCAATGTTTTAGGTAATTAAAAAACATGCATATAGAGGCACAATTTCATTTTAAAATTAACAAATTAATTTTAAAAATGACAAAATAAAACTCAAGTTTTCTTAAATTTGGTTTTGGGATTGAACTTTATAAGCATGTAAAAAAATGTATTATCCACAAGAAAAGAACAAACATACTCACTCAGCAAGCCATTGATTATTTGTCGATTCTGGTTTTCAACAAGCAGTGAATAAGAATCAAATCCCCAATCAAGAAACTAAAACAAAATGAATAAACATACAATACAAAAAATGTTTAACAACTCAAACTTCACTTTCACACATTAAAAGTGTAACACATGTGGGGCTACATTTTATATCTGTCAATTAAAATAAATAATGTAACTTTGAATAGACCACCACTAAATTATAAGGCTTTTACTAGAAGCATTTTAACATTTCAATTATTTGTAGTCTTCAGATTTATTGGGTACATTACCTCAGTACTTAAAAGAAAGACTACTAGGATGATTCCAGGGATGTAAAGGTTATCTTAGGAGAATAAGTTAGGATTTCATTATGTTATATTCTGAAAATAATAGAAGGAACAGAAATTAGATTAAGATTTGGTAAAAGACAGTTAAAGGTGTTTATGTTAGCAAGCAGTGGGGGCCAGCATTTTACAAGAGTTTAAAAGGGGAATCCATGATTTCCCGAAGAATAAAAGTTAACATTTTGGGGAGTTACTTCATAATTTGATTACCATTGCTAACAAACTTGCTTGCCTGTCTCTGTTATGGCAAAGCTACTCAGGCTATTTTCCATTGTCACCACTATTTTTGAACTGCTTGAATAGCACCCACTCATATGGAGGTAGGGGCATGAATCATGGTTTGAGGAACACTGTACTAATCATTTAATTGAATATAATTGACTACTGGCCTCACTGATAAATTTGTTAGCAAGTATTACTAACTGCCTAGGCCTGTTGTATATTACTTGTAGAAAAACAATTATTCATTATGTTATCAATTTTAAATAACATAAGGACAAAAGGGCACTATTTGATTTTTCTAGGTTGTCCCTGCACACACCCACGGTTCAGAAAAAGTGAAAAGATAAATCCACCTTCTGAAATGATATACTCGGCTCTCTTCACACTGTAGCTATTCCTCATGTCTACCTTTGAGGTTTTGTGCATGTCACTAGTCTTGAGCTATCTCCCACTAAAGACACATGCTATATAATGTGAACTATACTAGTGCGTAATATAATCATCATGCAACAATAGCAGTAAGCACTCCACCAACAAGAGGGTGACACATCTTTATTCTGAATATAGCTGTTCCTTATTTGAAATGAGGGAAGTCAGGCAGTCAAAAGTATTCACTAACTCTTGGGCTACTTTTGCCTATTCAAAAAGTGGGATTTTACTGTCACTGTTATAGCATACCAATGGTACCAAGGTGTGGAGTAAAACATTTTACAAGAATGGGCAATGAACCAAGAGCCCTCATACTCACAGATCAAGAATGCTAACCACTAGGCCACTGGATGAACTGTTGGTTGTTTGTTTGGTAGTTTTTGGTGCAAAGCAACTAAGCTATTTGCACCAAACAACTGGTAAAAATCTTAAAAGTAAATTCTATAAAATCTAATAATAAATTGAGTTAAAAACTAAATGTCCAAAATTCAGCTAAAAGACTCAAATAGAATTAAAAAGGCCAATGGCTCATAAAAAGCTAAAAACATAATCAAGTTAGACAGTGTCACCATCACCATTGTCACTGTCAACCCTCAAAGAAAAACAGAAAAAAGAAGGGGAACAGACAGACAAAGCAATAGCAGTAAAAGGCAGACTAGGTGCATCAAAATATACACCTGGAAAAAAGTTAAGCACCCCCAAATATTTTTCAGGATTGCTTATTGAAAATAAGGTTTAATTTTCATGATGTTGAGCAATGTT